CATTCCCCATGGGTACCACCCTCCCCATTTTTTAATGGGTATGGATTTTCCCCAACCCACTTTAATCTCCATTTTAATTTTTTATATTTAATGTTAACAACCATTTTTTTTTTAAGTTCACAACAAAAACTAAATATACCTTCAATTTTTTTTTCTTTCTTTTTTAATATATTTAATGTTAACATTTTTTTTTTTAATTTTAAGGTTCACAACAAAAGTTAAATATACCTTCAATCTTTTTTCTTTCTTTTTTAATATATTTAATGTTAGCAACCTTCTTTTTTTTTCTTTTTTTTTTTAATAAAGGTTTTAGCTAAATATACCTTCAATCTTTTTTCTTTCTTTTTTAATATATTTAATGTTAACAACTTATTTTTTTATTTTATTTTTTATTTTTTTAAGGTTCACAACAAAAGCTAAATATACATTCAATCTTATTTTATTTTATTTGGTTCAACAACAAAATCAAATACACATTAATTAATTAATTAAAAAGTTTGTTTTGTAATAATCAAATATATAATTTTGAGACAATCAAATAAGTTTTAGTAATTGAAAAAAAAATGTGGAAGAACGTGGAAGATTAAAAAAAATTTACAACCATCTCTTTCTCTCTCTCACTCTCACTCTCTCCTCTACATGTTATAAGAACCTGATTACAATGTTATAAGAGCCTGTTTGAAGAAATAAAATATGAAAGAACCTGTTTGAAGAAAGTGTTATAAGACTCATATTAAATTGTATCAGGACATAAATAAGGAATTGTTTGTTGATCTCTTAGCCACGGACATTTTAGACATTAAACCATCTTTCTCTTAGCAAATTTGAACCATTCATTTTAATTTATCCAAAATCTAATTATACCTTTAACAAATCTAAACCACTCATTTTAAGATATCTATGCGTTACCACACCCAATCCATCCTCCATCTTCTTCCTTTAGTCTCCCACGAATTTTGTTGTTTGTTACTTTTAAAAAACAAAAAATGTTTTTTCAATTAAATTTTTACTAATCTCACAACACCATCACCACTATTCTCACTTTCACTGTCACACTACCATCACCATAGCCACTACTATTATCACGGTCGCCATCACCCCACCACTATGTAACAATCTCTACTTTCACCTTCGTTCCATCACCACCACCACCAAATATAAAAAAATATATTTTTAATGTTTTTTATAAAAAATATTTTTCATTAAAAAATATTTTCTATCTAAATAAATGAAGCATAACATTGGAAAATAAGCTGATTTAATCTGTTCATAACTAAGAAAAATTCTTTGAATTTAAAAAAAATTATTTAGTAAGACTTTGTATCCCCTTTTTTGTTTTTCTAGCAAATAAATCTTTGTACCCATCATTTCTAACCAATCACGACTTATGCTTGTTTTGATTCTCTACAATTTCCTTATTTTCAAATACATTTATATATATATATGTTGTATAAATTGTGTGATAACATAAAACAAATAGTTTCATACTCGTTAATTGAAATTTCAGAACAAGCAAACCATTCTGAAAATTACAATACATAACAAAATAAAATAACATAAAAAAGCAAACCGAAACCTACACTAAACAGTGTCCTTAATTTTTTTAAATAAATTTAAAAAATTCTAGATATGCATAAAATTTGACAAGAATAATGTGACAATGTTAATTAATGTGTATTTGATTTTATTGTTGAGCCAAATAAAATAAAATAAGATTGAATGTATATTTAGCTTTGATTGTGAATCTTAAAAAAAAAAAAAATATTGGTTGTGAACCTTAAAAAAAAATTAAAAAAAACAAAAGAAAAAAGATTGAATGTATATTTAGCTTTGGTTGTGAATATTAAAAATTAAAAAAAAAATGGTTGTGAACCTTAAAAATAATAATAAAAAAAGATTGGAGGTATATTTAGCTTTGGTTGTGGATCTTAAAATAAAAAAAAATAAAAAAATAAAAATAAAAAAAAAACATATGAGGAAATTAGTGGGTACCCATCCCCAATCCATCCCCTGTGGATATTTAAAGAATATCACTTACCCTACCCAATGGATAAGAAAAAGAGGGAAAAACCTATGTATTTGGGTTGGGTCTCCATAGATACCCACAGGATAGGTTATCCATTGCCATCCCTAAGGGGAAGGGTGGCTATGGTGCTACCACGATGATATCGGCGCTGGCGATTGGAGCTGATGATGGCTGGCTGCCTGGAGCTAAAGATGGTGAAATTAGGTTTTTGAATTTGGTCATTTAAGGTAATTTAGTTTAGGGTAAAATTGTATTTTAAAAAAAAAAAAAAAAAAAGAAATGGGGATGTTCAACCTAAAATTTGGGAAAATTTTATTTCCACACATCAAATTATTTCTGTCTACATCTTTTCCAAAGAAAACATTTAGTAATTTAATTTTTATTTCTTTATCTCAATCCACACACTTCACATTCCAAATATACTCTCACCTTCTCTGCACACATCTTCTCATTCCATCATTTCTCACTTTAAAAACTTTAACCATAACTACACCAGCTACCGGTGATGGCCCTCAAATAAGGGGGATGGGTATTTTTTATTGTTCGAGGACTGCTCACATCTTTTTTGGGGAAAAAAAAATCTCAATGTATATTTTTTGAGTTAAAAAAAAAAAGTCAAATCCTAATTTAGATAGAGAGAGAAGCCATTGAAATCCATGGAACCATCTTAATATCAAAAGGATTATTGTTACTATGAACTAAAAAACCCCCAATTCCATCTCCAATTCACAGCTCATCTTCTTCACAACCTCCAATCCCATCTTCAGATTCTCAATCACTTGCATCAATTGTAATTCTCGGTTGATTTCCACATTCTCTTCCCCACTGATCATATCAATCATACTTCCAAATTTTTCTTTAGAAACATCAAACTCCTCATCATCACCTCCCTATCCATTGAATTCCACCACCACCAATCTCACCTCGACCCATTTGGGTTTGTAAATCCAACTTCTTTGACTCTCCTCCTCTGTCTTGAATGATGGTTTCACTGCCAAGTCAAACTTGTTTCACAATGTCATTATCTTGATTACTTCTTGGAAAAATAAGGTATAGTTCAAGCACATATTCATTGAAGTTCCACTCACCGATCCTTTGTTTCATAGTCACACCACCGATTAAAAACTCTGTGTTGCCTTAAATCGAAATAGGGTCTGAACCGTTGGTATACAATTTTGAACAACTATGTGGAAAAAGGGTTGAAGTGGTGTATGTATAAAATATGAGTTAAGGGTATGATTGGAATATTTAGTGTATGAAATGAGAACAATAACTTATAACCAAATTATTAAATGTGTGTATTAAGAAATTATGTGTATTAAGATAAATAGGTATATGAAAATAACATTAACCTATAATTTGGGATGTATTTCCAAATTATTAAATATGTGTATTAAGAAATTATGTGTATTAAGATAAATAGGTGTATGAAAATAACATTAACCTATAATTTGGGATGTATTTAGAGCCCCCCTAGTTCTCCCCTAGATGCTAGTAAAAGGACAAGTTTGCTTTTCAAGCATTTAAGTAATGTTTGGTTTTAGTTTTAAAAATTTGTTTCAGAAATTTTTTTAAAAAAATTAAAAATTAGTTTCATAAAGAAAATAAAAAAAATCAAAAGTAATTTCTAAAAATTCAAAAATATAATTTTGATATTTATTTTTGTCAAACTATTTTTTTTAATCAGAAAATATTTCCTTATGATATGATCCACTTGAATTTGTATTGTTATTTTTGTCAAATTAATTTCTATTTCTTTTTAATGTTATGCATTGCACTTAAAATAAAATAAAATTTAAAAGTCTCAACCAAAAATTAAAATAAAGTTTCAATATAAATTTTATTTTTATTGATTTTTATTTATTTAATATTTTAAAAGTTCTAGGCAAAAAATAAAACAAAATTTATAAGTAAGATTTAATATTACTATTACTTGGTAAACAATTCAAAAGAATAAAATAACCTTTGGAGCATTTATTCTTTTTCATAACATCTTAACCAAATATAAGATTCAATAAGATAGTCCTGACTTCTAACCCCGTGACTAAACAAATTAAATAGTCTAGAGATTATGGATCCTATAATTAACAGTCCAATAAATTATAATCCTTCTTATCCAATTCGTCTAAATAAACAAGTTTCATGTATACCCTTGTGTTTATCTTTTGCTTTAATGTTGGGTGTACCCAAAAAAAAACAAAATGTTGTCAGTTATTTATTACGTTTCCTTCCTTTCAAGATATGACAAAGATCATTTATAAAGTCATATCGCCCTATCATTGATTAGGAATAATAGATCGAGGCAAAGATATGACAAATTGTTATTAAATTCTATAAATTTTAATGTATGAATTGAAACTACAAGCAAAACCCTAAACCCTAAGCAAATTCCAAAGCTTTCGATGGAAGAAGAGTCCTAGAAACATGAAAAAGGGGACCAAAAAAATATAGATTGAATAATCAAATAATAAAAAATGAGGTAATTATTAAAACAAGTTAGCCTTAAAAGTAGTGAATTCCATTATTGCATTTCAAATTAAACCTGAAAAATGTGTCAAAATTTTATATTTGCTGGTTTCAAGAAAAATGTCTAAATTTTTCGTTTGTTAGCTTTAGAAGGAATAGAATAGCTTCACAAAAATAGAATCCATGACCATGCAAGCAAAATGAAATAGCATAGATATGATAAATCATGAATCAAAATGGAAATGAGGAACTGATCATTCTTATAATAATAATTAGTCAGCTTTAAAAATCAGAAATACTTTATATCATTTCCTATTGTCAATACTTTATATCATTTCCTATTTTCATAATTTAGAATATGTCTAGATTTTCTACTTATTGATTTGAGAATGTTGCACTTGTTTATAATTATTCCATTCTATTGTGAGGGAAACACTATATTCGCAAAAGAATCTACTTTATCCAAGCAGATGATGAGAGAGGACCTTCACTGAATGCAGCAACATAATGCAATATCTTGATTAAGTGGGGCTGCCTTATTATTTTGAGTATTATATGTTCATGACCAAGATAAAGAAAAGGTCTCAATCATACAAAATGCACCCCATGATTCCCAAACTGCATTCCAGTTCTCAATATAAATTATATGGACAACAAACCAACAGAAGTGGCTTCCGTGAAAGAACACAAGCAGCAGAAATCCATGAGAATTCTCTCTAAAAAAATATTATATTAAATTGCAAGATAAACGTACCGATCTAACAAATGGTTGTTGGAACACCCACTCAATAATAGGTATCTTCTGCACAAAAACTGGCAGTGTTGACCAAAATCTACTGCACAAAATACCCCATCAGCTACTAATATTAAGTAATATGAGCAGAGGACATGAAATCATTGGAGGAAAATCCAATGAACCTAAAAAGAACGATGAACCCATATGCCTCCAAAATCATTCCCAACATAATCCATCCTATAACAACCAAGAAAAAGCCCACACTAAAAGAAATAGTTCCTTGTACAATCATCACAAGGCAAATAAAAACGGGAGATGAGTTTACACACTGAATGGAGACACATAGAACAAACCAACCTTGAAATTGCTACATTTCGTGAAGAACCGCATCAAGGACTTCGGTCGCATGGTCATCGTCACCCTTGATGAGAAGAGGATCTGATTCAGTATTACCAAAGTAACACTACGTTAAGCAGGCATCAAATACACAGTAAGCTAAACGGAAAATGCTCAATAATGGAAGAAAGTGAGCAATAAAATTATAATGAGAGAAACTTTTTACTTACATTTCCCATGGCAAGTAGTCCCTTGTCAAAAAATAAAATAGTTCCTAAGAATGAGAACAGTATGCCAAATGCTATCAATCCCAGCCCAATCTTTGTTTCATCATAGAGTTTCCAGTTCTTTCACTAATCAGAATTTTGAAATGGAACTATTCGTAAAAATAGAGCAACTGTTATGAATGTGAAGAACCTAAATATGTTAATTGCTTTGTATAGCAAAATAAACTAAAAATACTGAAAATAAAGGTAACCCAGTCTCTCACTCAGATGTCAAAGGCTCTCTTGCTCAAACCCTCCATCCTTCGAGGAACATTGATCCTATCTTGATAGATTCTCGCTAAAAACATTCCCGTGAATTCATTCAGTATAGCCACTCAAAATCAAGACTTAGAAGTGAATACCCCAAAGAAAACTATATTATACATGCCTTTTTAAGTACCAATGTCAATAAACACCAAACAATCAATCATGGGATTGAAGAATTTCAATTGCCAAACCAATTTAAGAACATAGAATTACAATTAATACCAAAAAGCAAGAAGGAAATCACCAAAATGGGAAAACTTTGACTAACTCGTATGAGGGTTCCAATCAATTACATTACAAAATTGTACCAACCTGAAAACCAACTATAAAGAATAAGAGATGATGGCAATAGTAGAATAAAAGTTCACAATTAATTGTTTAAGCAACTTTGTAATCACAACAAATAATCTTTGTTCCAAACTGTATCACATTATTAAATTATAAATAAAAAACAAAGCAACCTAGTGCACGAGCTCTAGCTAATTATAAATGTTTATATACAAATGTCAAGAATGAAATTGATACCTTAAACTATTCAACGAGTTGCTCATAAACATTTTGATTGCAGAGAGGTAAGGCGCATAGTAATGAATTAGAGTTTCTCCATTGTCCACTCTGATTTGAACTCCAGCATCGTAAGCCCTCCATTCATCAAAAGAATTCCAAAGATCAATCAATGTAAAATACACAACTTTTCCCTCTCCCAAGGGTGCCAAAGACTGTTAAGGTTTCTGATCTCGCTCTATACAAAGATCATAAATCAATCAATCATAAGACACATGAAAAAATCATATTCTATTAGCATCAAAACAATTTTAAGGAAAAATATTGAAATGAGAAAACAAACCCTGGGTAGGAACTGAGATGGGAGTGGGCCAATTTGTTCTTCCTTTTCCATCACTTTCTTGATAATTTCATCATTCTTGCAAACATCTACTACTGTAATCCATGAGATAAGATCCACTTCAAACTAAATAACACAATTAGGAGGGACACCATTTCTGCCTGTGGCTCCATAACCCAAATCAGGGGGTAGCATGAACCCTACCATCTCCCCCTTCTTCATGGTAATGATTGCACGGTCCAATCCAGTAACCACTTGACCTAACCAACCCATCAATAAACCAATCAAGTTGAAGGAAACCCAAAAGTAACTCCATGACAATAAAGAATCACAATGAAATACTTTTGCATCTAAAAATACTACTCAATGTTTTTGAATTTTAATGTAATGTCTTTAAAGCTACAAATCCATCAATTTTGTTAGTGGAGATAGAAGTCCTTAGCATCATTGGTTTAGTTTCTGAGTATGAGTTCTCTAACTTTTATGAGCATTCACTCATTTTCAATGCAATATTTTAATTAAGGAAGCCTCCAATTTTTTGGTTTGCATGTTTAGGCATATTGTCAAACAGGTGGTGTGCCTAAATTGTGTATGCACTAACAAGCACCCACGAGAACAGAGGCATTCAAATCAGATATCAATATATCCATGGCTAGCACAAAAAGAAGTAGAAAACCACTAAATTACGTACCAGGTTGTGGAGTTTGGGCTATAATCTGTGTACCTAGAAACAACAAAGCTAAACCAAGATGGGAAGTGAAATAGAACGAGTATATACATATATGCGTTTGTCTTCAGCTGAAAGAGAATCGTTTGATCGCAAAATTTGATCCACTAAACACAAGAAAATTCTAGGAGGGACAGATGATTGCACCCGGTTCGATTGCAATACGTAGCGGAAGACACGTACAACTATATCACTCAAACGACATATGGCCAAGAAGGCACGTAAACCAAAAAATTGGGAAGAAGAGTAGCAAATGACATGTAAGTGAATTCTTAGGACCGAAGGTAATAATGTGAACACTTGCTAGGCATGTCTGGTAATTCCACCAATGTTGGATTCAAAAAGAGCTACTTGCTTCCGCTCTTTTATATATAGGTTATAGATTATTATTATTATTATTTTAATATTCATTTCCTTACTTTTATTTTAGTGATCATGACTTTTACAATTTCTACATATTCAATGGTTTATTTTCTTTTACACTTCAAGGACCCAACAATTATATAATTTTTTTTTTTTTAACAAATAAAAATTTCTGATTTATGTTCATAATCCCAACTAGTATAGAACACTAATGAAAGCAACAAATTGAATTCAAGTTAGTACATGAATCCACGTAAATTTATTTTGTGCAAAATCTAATGGTGTAGCGAAAAAACACCAGATTCTTTGAGATCAGTCAGTTCATCAACCTAGGCTCACGCGTAGGGATACCCTTCTCTCATCCCTTTTCCCCCCTCATTAAAAATAAAAAATAAAAAATTAATAAAAAATTATTATTTTGGTATTTTAATTTCAATAGCTCCTGGAAAAAATTAGGTTGCTTAGAGAGATTTTGCTACAATAATTTCAATCCCTTGCTTCAATAATAAGATATTTGGAAAGATTGCTATATAATTTTTTATTGATAGATATCAAAATAGGCATAATTTGTGTCTCTTAATGATTGACAAAGAAAACTCAACTCGAAATAATTGGTAATTACAAAATCACACCTATTCTCTTTAATTAGCACAAAGGTAATCAACAAGCTTAGAAAGAAAAAATCGTCATAAGTCACATTCTCACACCAAGTCCGCATTGAATTTTGATGCAATATTGCAATAATTGTTGGGAGTTCTTTAATGTCAAATTTACATTAAATTTTACGTTACAAAAATATTATGCCATAGCTTTCATGTGTGCCCTTCCTACTAAATATCAAATGTACACCCTGCTAACAAATATCCAGGGGTATAAGTAAAAAATAAAAAAGGTATATATCCCAATTTATTTTTGTTAGAAATGGTTTTGGAAGTTTTGAAAAAGTCAGATTTTTCCTTAATTTTGGTCTATGTTTTAGGTGGGACTCATACGCTAAAGTTGGCAGGTCTAAGTGGTAACGCGTTCTATGCCGCGTTGCGATTCACGTGGTATATTTGGTTGCTCAGAACCATTATCGGGTGAATGGGAAATTAAAACCAAAATGAGCTCCATGGAAATAGAGTTTTGGTGAAAAATCCTTAAAGGTTTGAATAAAAGCTTGTCCCACATTGGTTTGGTGGGAAGAATTTTGTGGGTTTATAAGGCATAGGTTTGTAACTTGGGGTAGGCCCTAAGGGGCACTCAAGTTTTGTAGAGAGGGAGGTTATAGGCTAGACCCAGTAGACCCAAAAAATAAACACGCACACCACCATTTGGTCAAGCGAGCTAGGCTTGGGCATGGTGTGAGGTTGAGTTGGACTTGTCTAGCCCAATACTAATTATTTTTTTGGGCCAAAAACTTTTGAATTTTATTTTTTTAAAATTAAATTCTAATTTTTTGGAATTTGAATTTCAGAAATTAATTCGAAAAATTCTGCCCAGTTTTTTCCTCCACCAAAATTCTGCCCAATTTTTATCTGTTTGAATTTAAATCGAAACATTTTCAGTATCTGTTCAAATTCAAACCCAAATAGTGTCATATCTGTTCATTCAAACTAAACAGGTTTGCTCCTGTTTAATTCAAACCAAACAACCACATTTTCTCCTATAAATAGACATACCCTCTACTGATTTTTCATTAATTCAGAAAATTTGTTCTTCCCTCTGTAATTACTCTATGCATTTTGCTGCATTAAATCCATTAATTTTCTGTGAGAAAGAATGTATACACTAAGTGTGTTTGTTGTACGAAAAATTTGTAGTGCTGCAATTTTTCGTTGTTGATCATTTTATCCTAGGAGATAGACGTCCACATTCTGAAAGCATCGCGGAGAGGATGAATCTATCTTAAGGACACAGTGTTAAACATTAGACTTGATCAGAAAATTTGTTCAACAAATTAATTTGGTAAGTAATTAATTTACTTTTCTGTTTTATTATTTTTCTGTTTCAGATTTTGATTTTGTTTTTGTAACAAAATAAAAATCTGTTTTATTTATTTTATTTCATTTTTTGGTTTGATTTTTATAATCAAACAAACTCTCTTCTTTTCTATATTTCTTATGTATTCCGTTTGTTGTTTAGTACACAAACGAAATTTATTTCTTTAAATACAGTGAAGATTGTCTAACAATTTTTAGGTTTTCATAATTTTCAAAATATTTTTTACACAAGACCCAACATGAAGGTGTTGTTAGGTAACATTTATAGTTTACTATTTTTATTTTACAAAAAATATTAAACATGTTTATATTTGTTTTGGGTATATATATATATATTTGGTACATAAGTATTTTTAAAAACTTGTTTTAAAACAAGTGAAAGGGATGACAGTTGGAAGCAATTGTCAACAATTGGAGATGGTGATCGTATTAATGTTATTCCTTTTAGGTCAGAGGTGGTTGTTGGGCGCCAAAGGTAGTGGCCAAAAGTGGTTGACGGAGGACAGATGTAATTGCCAATAGTCGAAGGTGGTAATCAATTGTGGGAAGTGATAGTCCAAAATGGTTACTAACGGTTGGAGATGATGGCTGATCGGCCGCCTAAGGTGATTGGCAGCAGTAACAGGTGATTGGCAGTTGAGAAAGGTGGTGGCCAAAGATGGTTGGCAGAGGAAGTCATGAGAGATGGTGATTGGTCGCAGTGAAGAGCAATGTGTGCTGGTTGGAAAGGGTGCGGAAAAAATAAATAAATCAATAAAAATAAAAAGAAAATTACAAAAAATAAAAAAAAAACTAGAGTTTCACTCTTATAACAAAATAAACCTTAAAGTTTTTATTTTATCAATTTAAATCCTAATTTTTTAATTTATTTTCAATTTGAACAATTTCCCTATTTCATTAAGTAAAATTGACATAAAAATGATATTTTAGTCATTAAACTCAATGTAGGTTATATAAAATATCTATAATACTATTTTTCATTGAGTTTAATGATTAAAATATAATTCTTTTTTCATTGGTTTTATTTAACAAAAATAATAAATAATTTAGATTGAAAATAAATCAAAATATTAGGGTTTACATTGATAAAATAAAATTTTGGGATATATTTCCTTACAAGGATCAAACCGTGTGATTTTTTATTTTATTTTATTTTTGGTAGTAAATCATAAAAAAAAATAAAAGAAAAGAAAAATAAAACAGTTGAAATCAACTTTTTAGTGGGTACCGTTTACAACTTTTTAAAAATCAAAACGGAAATCAAATGGGTTTTTATTTAAAATTTTAAAAAATTGGACGAATTATACTAACAGTTTTTATAATTTGAAACTTATCATTTTGGTCTCTGAATTTTTAATTGTGATATATTTGATCATAAATTTTGAATCTTGTTGTAAATAAGGACAGTCAAAGATATTTCATTGCAAACGGTCCATTTTAAGTACAAAGTCGTCATACAACTTACTTTATAATTGCTAACTTGTACGTCGCTTAAAATGTAATGACCTTTGTTTTTTTTAATTAATAATGTTGTAACTTTCTTGGTTATAAAGTTCTGCTTTGTTTGGTTTCAAAATCATTATTCAATTTTTTTTTTCTAAGAAACTAAAAATTAAATTGGTTAGGAAAAATTAAAAACCTATTATTTTTATATAATTTTATCTCTTGTAAGGATAGATAAAATTTTATCTCTTATAATTTTTTTAAGGGTTAATTACACTAATAGTCCCTATAGTTTGGGGCTTGTGTCACTTTGGTCACTGACTTTTCAATTGTGACACATTTGACCCTGAATTTTGAATCTTGTTCCAAATAAGGACAATTGAAAATATCATTAGATTTTTCAAGGGTAAAATTGTCAATTTAATAAAATATATACTAATTTGATAAAAATAAATGTCAAAAAAATATTTTTAATTTAAAAAAAATTATTTTCATTCACCAATGATAAAATTATGTAAAATTAATAAAAATTACATGATTAATTTTTTAGAATTAATTTTACATGATCATCATCCAAACACATAATAAAAATTAATTTGGTAAAAAAAATAAATAAATGTCTAAAAGATTTATCAATTTACATAATTTTATTTTTAGTGAGTAGGAATAATTTAAAAAAATTCAAAAATATTTGTTTGACATTTATTTTTGTCAAATTAGTTCATATTTTATCAAATTGACAATTTTACCCTTGAAAAATCTAATGATATCTTCAATTGTTCTTATTTGGAACAAGATTCAAAATTCAGGGCCAAATGTGTCACAATTGAAAAGTTAGGGACCAAAGTGGCATAAGCCCCAAAACTATAGGGACTATTTGTGTAATTTTATCTTTTTTTAAATAATTTTTATTTTTATCTTTTTTACATTAAATTTGTTTTTATTTTTTCAAAACTCAAACATCGTAACAACTTTGATGTCATTATTTAACCAATCTATTAGATCAAAATATTCAAAAGTAAAGGCATTTTATATATTAAACATATCAATTACACATTAAAAGCCTAATAACCATTCATTACATGATAATCATCCAAAAATATCTGTTAACAATAAATACAACCATCTATTACACAATAACCATAAAAAAATATCAATAAAATTTACCACTCCATTACATGATTGTCATCCAAACACATATTAAAAATTAATTTGGTAAAAAAATAAAAAAAAATAAAAATGTAAAAAATTTATCATTTATATATAATTTTATCTTTAGTGGGTATAAATAATTTTTAAAAATTTAAAAATAATTTTTTGCCGTTTATTTTTGTCAAACTAGTTTATATTTTATCAAATAGATGAATTTTCCCTTAAAATTGAGTAAAGTGTCTTCAATTGTCCTTATTTAGAACGAGATTTCAAATTTAGAGTCAAATGCATCACAATTGAAAAGTTAGAAATCAAAATGATACAAGCCCTAAACTACATAGACCATTAGTGCAATTCCCCCCTAAAAATTCTATAAACATAATATAAACATTACTAAACAAACCC